TCCATGGTTGCCATGGAAACCATGAACTCCTGGGCCCCATCTGAGAGTTCACCCAGAAATGGCAGGTTGAAGTCCCCCAGTAGTATAAGTCTGGGGAACTCAACCGCCAGTCCGGCTACTGACTCTAGGAGCGCAGGCAGGGCTGTTGTGATGCAGCTGGGAAGTAGGTATGTCAACAACAAGCCCACTTGACCCCCTAGGTCCAACTTCACAAGGAGGGACTCACACCCGACATTCTCTGGAGCAGGGATCCTGCGAGGAGCTAATTACTCCTTCATTGTAGGTACCATATTTTTCGGACTATAAGACGCACCAGAGTAAAAGATACACCAAGATTTCAAAGAGGTAATTTTTTAAAAAAGAAATGTCCTCCCCAGCCCCCAGAAGCACTCTGCAGGCCTCCCAAACCCACTGCATGCCCTGTTTTTTGTGTGAAAAAACCAGAGAGAGCTTGGGAAGCCTGCAAAGTGCTCCTGAGGCTGGGAAGGGCAAAAATGTGACATATGGGGAGATTGGGAGGTGAAAATGTCCCATTTTTCACAAAAATGGGGCATGCAGAGCATTTGGGAGGCCTGTAGAGTGCTCCAGGGGTTGGGGAGGGCAAAAATGAGTGAAAATGGGTCAATTTTCACTCATTTTTGCCCTCCCCAGCCTTCAGGAGCACTTTACAGGCCTCCCAAACCCTCCACAGGTCTCAATTTTTTTGCAAAAAATGGGCCTGTTTTCTACTCATTTTTGTCTTCCCCACCCCCCAGGAGCACTTTTCAGGCCCCCCAAATCCTCTGCATGTCCATTTTTGCAAAAAAAATTGGATATGCAAGGAAGGTTTTCGGAAGGCTGTATTCAGTGTATAAGATGCACACAGATTTTTACCCTCTTTTGGGGGGAAGGTGCGTCTTATACTCCAAAAAATACAGTATTTCAAGTCTTTCCATATTTTTGCATGCAATAATCTCACTGTAGTTACCATATAAAAATTGTCCATAATTATTTTCCAGTTGTTTAGAAAATATTAGTCCCAGAAAGAAAAGATCTGTTTTCAGAGGAATATTAATGTTTAAAATTATTTTATTACTGTAAGTACTTCAATCCACAAATTTGTTATTAGTTAGCTAATATGGATTATATTGTCCTAAACTATTATACAGAAACCAGCATATCAGCAAAAAGTTCAGATGATGGTCATGATTACTCAATCATATCAACATGCATCCTTTGTCCATGCATCCAACTCACCCATACATTCAAATGAGCAGGGCTTCTATTACATGTTATAAGTGTCATCTTGAATTTTTTAATCATATCCCATGAATATGTAACTTTTTCCACATTTTGCTGTGAATGGATTTGGGTGTTTATAAACTGTACCATCCCCTCTCCAACCCACTGCCTTTTAAATTACTCTGATTTGTTTTACTGTTGCTTTCAAAGAGATTCTTTATCCATTTAAAAAGTTCTTACTATTATTGTTTCTTTGGGTTTTTTTTTTAATTTGTTGTGCTTTTATGTCTGTGTTTGTTTTAAATAAATAATTTATTACTTCCCCACAAAATAAATCTTTTTTAAAAAAAATCTGGATTTGTTGCCCACATGCAGGATTAATTAGTGTGACATTTGGGTTGGATTGATTGTAGCTGTTAGCACAAGCAAACATAGTTAGTATATCAAACTCCAAGTCCTTATTTTGTTGATGAGTGGTGAAAACAGTGGCTAACACATCCAAGTGGTCATATAGAAGCAACAATCAAGGTTTTGTTAATAATTAATCGATCATACATATTTAATCAATAAATTCTGCACTAAGTGACAATTCTGTGTGGTCTTCAGTTGAGGCTCTGGGGTTTTGGATCATCAGGTTGTCAAAGGAATGTGAATGAATATTTTGCATCTTCATTACCAAGTTATATGAAAGATGCCCATATCTAAATTAACACTAACAGGGAATGGATACAAAGAACTGAATGGAGATTAGAGTCAAAGTTCTACTATTTTGAAAAATTGAAAATAAATCATGAGAATCAAAGAGCATTGGGGGGGGGAGTTATTAAGTACTCAGATGTGAGATTAATAAACTAATAAAAATATGCCAACTTTTTAAAGATTGATCTCTATATGAAAAGAGAGCAAGGTAACCACCGTAACATATTTTGAAAGGAGAAAGATTTGAGTTATACAACAGTACTGAAGCAACAAGAGAAACAAGAACTCTGGGAAAGAATCACCCCAAGTTAAAGCAAATATGACCTTCAGGCCAAAGGCACAGATCATCAGCAATGTGGCATCTAGCCCAACTTGAGTATGCTGGCTGGAAACTGATGGACACTTCCTCCCAGATGGAGATTGAACACAGCAGTCTCACCATAATGACAGTGATAGCTCTCCATGTACAACTGCAAAGGGTTTTTCTTTGCATTTCTTAAGAATGACGAGAACATCAGAAGAGTAGATGACATCATCCTCAGTCCAGGGGTGAAATTCAGCAGGTTCTGATCAGTTCTGGAGAACCAGTAGTGGAAATTTTGAGTAGTTCGGAGAACCGGCAAATACTACCTCTGGCTGGCCCCAGTGTGGGGTGGGAATGGAGATTTTGCAGTATCCTTCCCCTGGAGTGGGATGGGAATGGAGATTTTGCAGTATCCTTCCCCTGGAGTGGGATGGGAATGGAGATTTTGCAGTATCCTTCCCCTGCCATGCCCACCAAGCCATGCTCACAGAACCAGTAATAAAAAAATTGAATTTCACCACTGCCTCAGTCTCTTTCTATCACTACTTCTGATCCTTTGATAAGGGCTCTTTGCAAAAACTAGAGAAAGAAAACTATGAAATACCAAGTAGGAAATCAAATTCAAGGGTATAGAAGAATTCAGGGAGAGGTTTTAAAAAGAATCCAAAATATTTGTTTACTATTTTGCCTTCATGCAAATAATTTAACCTTTAGTTCCATAATTATTTTTATTTACAATTGACATAAATATAATGAAACCTTGTGTTTTAGCTGGCTGAAGATCTTTCATCAAAATTTTGCAGGTTAAATTTGTGAAGTTATAATAAGTATAAGTATAATCTTTATTGTCATTGTATTTAAATGCAATGAAATTGATTTTAACCTCATTGGTGCAAAATTATAACAGAAACAAAAAAAGAAAGAAAAAGAAAAAAACTAGCATGTGCATAGAGTGATTGTGGTTGTATTTAAAAGTCTCACAGCGCAAGGATAGAAACTATCTTTAAACCTGTTTGTTCGGCTGACTATACTTTGATGTCTTCTGCCTGATGATAGAAGTGCAAAGAGACACTGACCAGGGTGTGAATCATCTCTGAGTATCTTCCTTACTCTGCTAAAGCAGCGAGATCTGGCGATGTCATCCAGTGGTGTCAGAGGGCAACCAATGGTTTCTTGTGCCAAATTGATCACTCTCTGTAGTGCCTTCCTGTCTGCAGCTGTTAAACCAGCATACCATACTGTAATACAATATGTGAGGACACTTTCTATGGTGGACCAATAGAAAGAGGTCATCAGCTGTTGTTCCACCTGATTTTTTTGCAGGACTCTAAGGAAATGAAGTCTTTCCAATCACCAGAGATGTGTTGTTTTTCCAGGTGAGATCTTGACTAATAAGCACTCCCAAGAATTTAAAAGAGGAAATCCTCTCAACACAGCCCCCTCGATATACAGTGGGGCAGGTTCCTCTCTGTGCTTCCAAAAATCTAGCACCATCTCCTTTGTCTTACTAGTATTTAGATGTAAGTTGTTTCTTGAGCACCATGCGGATACCTTCTGGACTTCTTCCTGATTCAACACACCTCCACTCAATCAGGACACAACCAAGCTCCCACCCAATCAGTTCAAACCCCCACTGGCAGTTAAAAGGAAGAAACAGCCGAGATCTCACATTGCTCCTGGAAGCACCAAGCCTGAAGAAGCCTGAAGATGATGAATGAGACCGTCGAAATGTCGCCAAGACAACTCCAATTTTACGCGGGAGAAAACCCGAATAACTA